TTAAAAGTTCGTATTTTCTTTCGACTCATTTCGTAAATTCGGAAAATAATAATGACCTTGTACTTTTATTCAATGAGTTGCACTAATCGAGATTGAATGTATATATAAATTATTAAGTAAAGAAAAATGAATATAACTGTGATAGTTCTAATGTGTTATGAATTCTAATCATATGTCATTTATTTTTTTTATCATGAAACATAAAACGTATTTTACGTTGAGAAATCTCTTAAAATGAAAGCTTGCCATTAGATCATTCTTTTTTCCATCATGTAGGTCAGATTTCCATCGACGAACTGAAAGTTATCTTCGTCACCATTCTCTTAGTTTTGAAAACTAATAATATAAAAAAAAAGACAAGTAACCACAGTTTATACCATCCTTACTATCTAGTTTCTTGAAAACTCATCAATAGATTGACTAATCTCCGATTGAACAGAATATATTTTCTCCAATTTTATTCCATTCTTGAGTATAGACCGCGAGATGCTTAAAAATTATTATATAACGAAATTCTTTAATTCATTCAGTCAGGCAACACAACGAGTGCAGATAGATCATTTACTTTGAATACATCTTTCGTTCTTTGCAGATAAATGAGAAAAGAAATGAACTCATTTAATATATGAAATTATGAGCAAACTACTTTTCTTTATATTAATTTTATATCAAGTAAGTCTGTGTTGACTTAATTTGATTATCTTAAAGTCTAAGACTCTCCTCTAGGATTTAGGTACTTTATTCGTTTAATATCCTGAAGGAAAAATGACATGGCTTGATTGATGCTCGAATTTAGGACCGCGATCATTTATATCATTACTATTTTCAACTTATTCCACTCTCTTGCATCACTAAATATTTTGGCCAATACGTTCTTTTTCTACCGCGTAGAACATATTTAAAAATTTTCCGAATCCATTCTTCTCTCTACTATAGAAATTTTATCACCATCAACACAGTTGACAAATGAAATTATCAGTCGTCACATATATTATTTGTATACGACATTAAGCTAGATAAGAAAAGAATTTCTTATATTAATATAGATTGAATCTTTAGTAGCTCTCGTTAACCATTAGCGACGTAGATTATCTGGTTCGACTTGACTCGAAAAATGCGTATAAGCTAAAGATTACATCCATCACACTTTGTCTTCTGATAAAAGTCGCATGATCTTACTTATGATCAGAAAATCCATATGAAAAGTTCTATTATTTTAAGGATCCCTCCCGTTCCCTCCCTCTTTTTTCACCATGGTGGGAAATGTGGTGTAAACGTCCGATCGTGTTCAGATTCATATCAGGGATAGAGTATCGGAGAAGAAAAGTGATGTATTTTTTACCAGAATCTTCTGACATATTTTTCTATGGATTGTTTTTTTGGAAAACATCGATTTTCATCCATGTAAATTATGACCCCAACAAAACTTCATTTTACCATAGATATCTGGCATGGTATCTCAGAATGCAACGTTTTGTTTTTGATTTCTAAATTTTTTTTTTTTGAGAGATAAAAACAATGAGTAGAATTCTATAATTTAGATCTTGTCTGGAATTTAAATTGTTTTTATGACTTCTGTCTGTAACAGGTGATAGTTCATAATCGCATTCCTTTCTCTTTCTGTGTAAACAAGATTCACTTCTATCATACGAACCATTATCTCATTAATCTCTATTATCATCACCAGAAAATTAATCTGAAGAAAACTATTGCTATTCCAAATTACTTATTGATAAAAACACAATTCATTTAAATCACCACAAATATACTTTATAGTATTCACTCACATATCTCCTTCTTTTTTTATCCTTTTATATATATATAGAAAACGTCAAATATTTTCTATATAGTAAGATATAGAGATAAAAATTGTTTGCATCCTATAAAGAATCAGTCGTTTGAATCATAAGATAGATCTAAAGAGATATACACACTAAAAAATAGGAAATATTCATTCACGTATGACGAAACCTTATTGATAAAAGAGAGAATTATTTTATCGTATTTTTTTATTTTTTTTATTATTCTGTACAAAGGATTTCTCTTTTTTCTGTCGTTCAGTTCTTGTTTAAAAATATTTTATTTGTCGCTCAATAAATCTCTTTATCTTTCTAAAATTCTGACATAATATCGTGTAACTGATTTTTCATCATAAAAAAACTAGAACAACGAAAAAAAGAAAAAGATTATTTATTGATTAAAAGATTTTCTTTTAAACAACATGTTCAATCATATTCTGTCAAAATATCCATTTGAGAATAGAAATTTATAATAAACAAATGAATATGAATAGACAATTCTAACAATATCATGTCGAAATACTTCATCATTTATACATCGATAACGATACACTTATAATGATGGTTTAAGTAAGTGATATAGTTTTATCAGAATCAAGAATTAAACTAAGCATAGCTATTGTAGAATGAGGTGTTCTATGTTATTCGAAATACAGAATAAAAACCCAACGCTTTATAACATGCTGTAAAAAGAAAATTTTTATCGTTATTTTGAACATTTTCAAGATAGAATCAGTTTCCAAATGTACAAAAAATTGAAGAATGTTCATGGTATCGCGGGAAATCAATGATTATCTATAACATTAGGTTAATTAAAGCCTAAAAACAATGTATCTCAACTCGAATAAGTAAAAAGACATCAACTTCCGTTTTTATTCCATATTGGCAAAAAATTATCGAATATAGACAATAATAGAAGTTCGCTTAGATACCAAATTAAAAGGATGATGGAATATTTTTTTTTGTCATTAAGAAAAAATCTCCAATACTGAATTTTTCAGATTTAGAAAATATTTAATAAAAAAACAGTATTTCCTCGAGAGAAATTCACTTTATAATCTTCTAGTCTAACTCAAATCTAGCAGAAAATCACAATTCAACTACTATCTATCCATCTCAAAATGTAGTGTCTATTAATAATTTTCTAACAAATTCGGTATAAAAAAGATATTTTAAACCGAGATCTAATCCCACAAAAAATGGAAAACTAAAATTCAAAAAACCATCCGAAGATAATATACTTTATCAATTTTTCAAAGAGAGAGTTGTTACTTGATAAAAGTGCAATTAATTTCTCACTTCTATAAGTACAGTCGAAAAATCAGATTATGTTCTACACTGCTACGTAAATCCAACGTCTTCATATATTATCATTATTAGATGACAGCAATTTTCCGAACACAGGGGCTTTCATGAAAAATTCTATGATACGTCTTAGCTAATTCAGAAACATCAGACTGTGAAAGAAAAAAACCACCTTTTCAAAGTTAGTGGTGAGAGTTGATAAGAGTTAAAATTGATGATTCACACGAATATATGACGAATTGACAGGATTATTAGGACACAAGAATAGGAGAGAGAGTATATATAACAATAATTATAGTATTTTTTCTTTTGTATGTTTGTACTGTTGAGTGAAGTATGCCTGTTTTATTATTTCAGCGCACGTGTGCTGACATTGCTTATTTTCTCGTAAATTTGTATTTTCTAGGTTTGTATTCTCTGTTTTTATTCAAAAACAAACATATAGCCGCAAGAATAGTAAATAATCTATATTCTTCCTTACACTGGAACATGTGTAATTAGGTCTCGACTACATATGACGTAAAAATTTGCAAATTTTCGTTGTATTGTATTAGAAAAATACTCATAGACACTGTATTTTAAAATGATTAGTAACATCTCATGATTATGTGCATCAACTTTATTAGTACCTTGTTTTTTCCTAGTTCGTGTATAATTGTCTTTATACAGATCATAGATTTTATGGTATAGTTTGTATAGATGATAATGATCTCAAAACATTTACTTAAAACATGACATTTGTCTGCCATGTATATATTCATTAGACTATTATCGCATCTCTTTACCACCACTACTGCTATCAACAACAACAATAATCAATACATAGTGGTATTATCTTTCTTTTTGATTCCATGTTCGAGTATAGAGAAAATTTAGAGGTTTGTATGTTTTTTTTCTATTTCCTTCAAATAAAACAGATCTCTACCATTCTTGTCACCTCTTATTAGTAAGATACATAGGGCGGAAATTATATCGTATACTTAAACAAAAAAACTCAAGTAGCTGTTTCTTTTTCACTGAGATGAGAGAAAAAAAGAGCGTGAGACAATATCATTAACACAACTTCTTTTCTTATAACACACTAAAATATTCAAGTTTTTCATCATGATTAAAAAATATAAAAGGTATGTCTCACTTTCTCTCTTTCTTTCTTTCTTTCTTTCTCTCGTTCTCTCATAAGTACATATTATCTACTTAGTTGTACGTTTGACCAATTATTTCATAAACAAATTATGAGATAAAGAAAAGATTTACAAATTACATTTTTCATAGAATATTTCAAATAAATTTTTATATTCAGTATAGTTACTTTTACAATATAAATAATATATATATAGTGTAAAATAACTATATATATTAATAATTCATTAATTAAGGAAAAGGTTCAAAAAACTATTAACCACAATTTTCTTCACTCATTCAATTGAATTCTCAAATAATGATTAGAAGAAATTATTGACTAACTATCGATAATATATATCGTCAATATTATAAAGATAACTGGCAGATGAAACAATTTTTATGTTTTTTGTTTGTTAATTTAAATTCTTTCTTTCAATTCCAGACGCTCATATCGGATGTCTTAATTACAGACTACTGTTTTCTTTGATTTTCATTTAGATCTTTTATTATTGTTTAACGGTACGTCTATTTTTCTTCTTCTTACAAAAAAAAAAAAATTTGTGTTTGAAGGCAAACGCATGTTTAATAAATAATATTCATTCTATTTGAAATTGTTTAATAATTAGCTGAATGTTATTTATACGATTAGAATGGAAAAAAATACATGATTATTAATAACATTTATTTGTAGTTGAAATTGTACTATTATTGTTAAATCATAGACCATCGAATATCATATAAAATTTTGTTATTAATAATTTTCAATTATATTTTATGGATGACATCTTATTAATAATTTCATCAATAACAACAGTTAATAATAGTATTGTGTTATCATTACCACCAATTGAAAGTTCACCTAAGAATAATTCGGATGATGTTTGCAAAAACTTTCATGTAAGTAAAATGGTTTAACTTTGAATAAAAGAATAATTTTTCTTTTTACGAAATAGACGAATGTTTAGCAATTATTATTCTAAATAACGTAGTACAACTCTATTTGTTGACATTATTAAATACACATATACAGACATCTTCGACATTATTGTTTTGTCTATTTTACATGTGTAGAAAGATTGTGTATACATTGAAAATTCTGATAAATTTCAATATTTAAAAATATATATTCGTTTAAATGTTTCATTTAACTATGAAACTGTGGCTGAAGCAGCTAGATAAATCTCTTTTTTCAAGTTACATTTATGAATGATGGTATCTGATTCTGATTTCGTTCAAAAATTCTTCTTGAGAAAACAGGATTGCTGCGGGGATACTGTTGATCAATATAACAGTATATTCTTATATGCTAGTTAAATCACGTGATGGTGAATAAACGCATCTGAATTCACTCATTCTAAGTAGTAGCAAAAATAAAAGGGAATGAGTTCATCTTAAATAATGAATAACTTTCTTTATTGAACGACAATTATGTTTAATAGGAAAAACAAAATAATTAGCAACCAAATAAGGAGAGAAATTACTTTCAATGGTCCCATTAGAAAGTTGTTTTCAGCCATTTTTCTCGCTAGTTTTACTGCTAGACCGTTAAGAGACTCTATTATAAGTTATTTTCTCCCAATTATCGTGCTTTGACCATTAGAGTAAGATTTTATAGCTCATTAGTTTCAACAACCGATGCTAATTCAAATCTATATTGTTTTTCTGTCGTTAAATGAGTAAAATCTCTTTATATTAAAATATTCTTAATGTATCTTGTTTTATCTAGACTCTAAGTGTATTTTCAAATTTTCTTAATTCTTAAAGAAAAGTTTACATAATAGTTAGATTAGGCTTACAAAAACAATACTTGACTTTATAAAGAACTTTTTAAGGTCAAACTGTTTCAGTACTTCACACAAACTGCCTTTTGATCGACTAAAAACAAAAATTTAGTCAAGTGTTTTCTGATAAACATTATATATATTCAATAACTCTCGACTATTTCGATTGAACAAGTGATCTTCTTTAAACAAGATGATTAATATATCTAATAAGAAATGTAACCATACAGTTTTAACTTGTTTTTTTCATAATTAGATTACGGGTTTAATTTCGATATTTTAGTCTTCATAAATGATAAAACTAATAGAAAAAAAAGAAAAAAAAAGAATTTTTTCTACCTTAATATGTATTATATCTACACTCAGAATTAATTATTCAATTTTTATTAGATAAAATGGGATAATGTTCTTCTAATTAGTTAATATCTAGAAAATTTTCTCTTTATTATTGTTTTAGCTCATTGTTTTTCTATGTATTATATTCGTTCTTATTGTATCAAGCAATATATCTGTTATAATTCAACTTGGATGTTCGAAAAAACGTCACAGCCGAATGAGTTTTTTTCTTCTCAATCTTGCTTATGCAGGTATGTACAATTATTTATATATTTTATCTTGGAAAACAAGTTAGTTGAACATATTTTTGATTCATTTAAAAACGGAAATGAAAATACAGCCGTTCCTTTTAGTCTATTAAGCAAAAAGAAAAATAATAATAATAAAAAAACAAACAAATAGCTCTTGACTCGAATTTTTATGTTTATATTTCTAAAAAAAAAAAAAAATCAATCTTTAGAAGAAGAAAAATCGTTTATTAATTTGATTAACAAAAAATTATACGATTCTTAATATCGACAATGAAAACTGATTAAGCAAAAACAGAATATTTTGATATTTTTAGAAATACGTTCCTTTAAACGTTATTCTTTTATGCGTGGATGATGACGCAGTTCGCTTTATTTTTCTCATTTAAGAGATAAAATATTCACAGGACGAGATGTAGAATTAGACAAAACTCAATAACACTTCGGTCGTAAAATCATTTAAGCTAGAAAGTATATAGAAATTAAAGAACCGAAACAAAAAAACAACTAATATTAATCTAATTTTTGATGCTGATCTTACCGTGATTTCAGTTATTGATAGAATCCATTCTCAAGAAAATAAGATTGAAATAGTTATTCCTATATATACAACAACATGTTTAATAAAAGAAAGTTTATAGAATAGAAGATCAAAAAAAGGTCATCTTGTCCAGTGAGTTAAGGATTGATTATAATGAACATATCTCCTTTCATAGAAGAATTTTATCCAAGAAAATTCTTGAGAAGTAAAGCTTACACCATGTAGTTTCTCATCTTTGAAAAGAAATCCACTAAAATAAGTGAAGTCAAATTATGACTCATAAATGGAGAATAACAAATATTCATAGATCAATATGTCATTGCTAAAAATAATAATATTGAAGACAAATTTAGATTACTTTAGATATGTTTGATCTCTTTCAGAATGCTTCATAGTCTAAATATGAAAATTTTTAATATTTAGATTTATTAGTTGGACTATTGATCGTTACAAGAGATATAATTGAAAAAAGTTGCATTCCTTTTATTCTCGGTGATATCGGATGTCGTCTAATCGGTTTTATACAGGTAATTATTTGACTAATTCAAGAAAAAGTTTTCACTCAGTTATTCTTCCTATTTTTAAGGTGACAATTGCTTACAATTCGAGGTTTGTTAAATATATGTTTTTTTTATCTATAACGGTTTACCGGTGTTTTTCTTTCAAATAGCTACGTACTCGTTTGTGTTTCCATTGATCGTTTATATGCGATTGTCAGACCGATGGACGTACGTACAGCATCAGCAGGTATTTAATGTTTATTACGATTCGATTGGGAATCTATTCAATTAATACTAATAATTTTATTGTTTAATTATTCTTCTAGCATTTCGCTATACATTGATTATCGGTAAATAGAACGAAATTTTATTTTTTCTCTCATTTAATATATATTTCCTTCTATACATAATTTAGCATCATGGATAATATCAATAAGTTTTGCTTCTGCTCAATTATTTCTGAGAGAAATTGAAGTATTTCGAGGAATGCGTGTATGTGGAAATCGTTCGGATATCAAAAATTGGAACGTATGTTTTTACCAGACAGAAATTTGCATAAAATTACCGTTTTAACAAGCTTATTCATCTTTAAGATTTATGTCTATTTTTTATTCATAACTGTGTATCTAATACCATTAATTATCATAACTGTTTGCTATGTAATCATTATTGTTATTATATGGAAAAAGAGCAGTTTGAAAAAAAGTCATGTTGGAAAACAAAAATCGAGAATTATGAGATTTGTGTCACTTAAACGTTCGACATTTGATTCAGCATCTGGTATAAATAAATATAAAGAACACTGAATATTTTCAAACTCCTTGTCACACTTTTCCTTCACAGATGATAAACATATCGAAAATTCTATTCGCAATGTGGGATCATTGGGAGTAATTCCACGAGCAAAAATTAAAACTGTAAAAATGACACTGGTCATTGTGACAGGTAATTACAAGTATATTTTTATTTTATGTCTTCTTCATTTTAAATTTCTTTTTCTTGCAGCATTCACGGCCTGTTGGTCTCCTTATTTTTTATTAACGATCCTAAACACATTAAACTTGATAAAAGATCAAAAGGTTATAGTTGTCACAAACAGCATGTGTTATTTGAATTCATTAGCAAATCCTTTGATTTATTGGTTATTTGCAACAAACTTTTGTTTACGATACAGGTAACTTTATCTGTAGATAGAATGTACATATCATTCATTAATTTAAACTATTCAAAGCACGACTGAGGGTACCCGTCCTCTCATTTCTTCTCTTGTTATAAAGTCGTAGCGAATGATTGGGAGAAGTTAAACTTTTAACCAAAGTATGTTCTTGAACAATAAAGCAGGCACATTTTTCGTTCAGACCTTAGAACTAACTTTTAGGTACTCGAGAAACTCGGTTTTTCATCCATACCAACGTCACCAAAATTTTGTCCATTCGAACTCAAAATTTAATCATAGGTACTAGGCTCCAGTACGCTCAGGTATTTTTCGATTTAACTCTCGAAGATACAACATTGAGGATTTATAAGAAAATTTCATGAGAAACTACATTACGATTTTGAGACTCCCAAAGATCAGCCGTCCTTCCTATGAAGAAAAGGTGCTGAAAAGCAAAATCGAAAAACACCTGAGCATACTGTAGCCTAGTACCTGTGATAAAATTTTGAGTTCGAACGGGCAAAGTTTTGATGGTATTGATACGGTACGCAAAAACCTCGTTTCTCGAGTACCTAACAGTTAGTTCGAAGGTCTGAATGAAAAACCTATCTGCTTTATTATTCAATAACATACTCCGGTTAAAAGTCTAACTTTTCGCAGTCATTCGCTACGACTAAAATCGTTGAATAATTGAAGTCTTGAAGTCAAGGATCTAATAAATTGGCTGGTTTAATATTTTTTGTTTCTTAAATTTTTAGGCAAAAATCATCTACGAATAATCGTCGAGTATCGCTCACATCTTCAGTACACAAAAACAGTTTCGGTTCGAAACGTCGAACCAGTGAACATCATCGACAAGATTCATCTGCGACAAAACGAGTTAAACATCAAAATTCACAATCATCATTAGTATATAATAATAGTCTATGATAAGGAATTTCTACTAACACGACGTATCTATTTAGTATACAACAGATTATTAGCACTACAAGCCACGTTGCTTCCATTGATCTTCTGTTTTTATTTGCTCAGTTGTTTTGTGTTTTGTTTTCTTCTACTTTTTTGATTTCATACATGAATCAAAAAATCAATTAATAAAATTAAATATTCACAAAAAAATGTAGTATTTTCCAAAAATTATTCCGTTATCCACACTTCATCTGGAGTCAACTTGATGCTGCGAACTTGGTCAAGATCCTTCACTTACTGGACGAAATGTGAATGCTAGCAATATGTATTCTACCCCGCTGGTAGTAAAGAAAACTGACTTTGAACATCGATGTTTTGTACCGACCTTGGAAAATGTTGTGCTCTTATAAAAATAAAAAGACTTGAACTACTTTTTTTAAAGACTGTACTATATTATATGAGAAAGTAAATGTTACCTGGTTAGATGATGAAGTAACTTGTAGTTAAAACATCTTGAAAATAGTTGAGTTTACTTGTTCAACTGTCTTTTTTTTCCGCTATTTGAACTACATTTTCCACTACAGTTTCAAATAATGCATTTTCTTCATCTATATCTTCAAATAAAACGTACATCATTGTTGTTGGTACTTAATAAATGATCAAAAATTTGCAAGAAAAAATGTACTATGGAGTAGGAATATTAACCAAAGTGTAAAATATTGATTTTTTTCCTACTCATTCATTATCAGCAAGTCCATATCTACTTGCAAACATACAACAAATAAGAAATGTTAAAAGGAGATGATATGAGCTAACAACACACACTTCTGTATTTGATATTTCTAATTCATTCTGTTGGTATTTCTGCAATACAAGAGATAACCAGATCAGAAAACACATTATAGAATTTCTGAATTTCAACATAAAATAAAATAATTTTTTGTAAACTTTTTTTCACTACGTAAAAGACACTTTATACCGTAGTGGTTATCATTAAAATGTTCTAATTAGAAATATTCTAAAACAATCACATCATATGTATTATCAGTTTATTTTTTATAGAATATCTTTTTCATTTTTAAACCAAAAATGAATGAAACAATAAAAAAAGAACGAACGGTCTCTTTACTTTAAACAAATGAAACAAAATAAAAAGCAATAAAGATACACAGAGATCGAATTATTAATCTTCCATTTCAACATTGCTCTCTGAATTGTTATTATCATCAACATTTTCTTCTTCCTCTTCATCACTAGTTTCATCTGCTTGATTTGACTCGGCAAGACATCGATTACACTGACAAATGAACAAATAATTTTCTCTGAAATAATAAAATTAAAATTAGATATAAATTAATCAACTTATTAAATATTTAGACTTACAAAAGAATTTTTTGTCGTGAATGTTTTGAACGATTTCGATCACATTCCGATAGGTAATTGATTGTTATTTCCTGTATAATGAAATCAAAATAGGTTGTGAGAAAACAACAAAAACAAAACTAGACTTACTTCTCCCATCGATATAGTTTTAGTGGCAACAACTGATAATTGTGAGTTATTATGTAAATATTGAATTTCGGCGTTTGCATCGCAACTGTGATTAACTAGAAATCCAGAAAAAAAAACAATATTAGTATTCAATAAATGTTATATTAGAAATATTGTAAAGACTCACGACAACTTTGCAATTGAAATAAACCACTTCCTTCGCAATCAATAAAATCACCTGATACTAAACAGACAAACATAAATAAGATAAATTCATAATTGATTTTATAAGAATAAAAACCTTCATCAATTTTGGTGTAAATAGCATCAATCATTTGTGAAATTTCATCATGTTTCAAATTATGTTCATGGATATTCTCACAATTCTTGACCCATACAGCAAGCGAACTATTAATATATGAACGAAGAACGATAGTAGCTTTAAAAGCTATAAATGATATTCATTCAACATGCCATATCCATATTTGGATTACCTTGTTCCAATTCCTTGTTGATTTCGTCCAAGTAGCGCAAGCAGTTGTCGAAAACCATTTGCAGTTAAAAACCATTTAAATTCATCAATTTTTAAATGATCATCATTTAATTTTTGCAAACAAGTTCTTAACTGTTCAACTTGAGGCTACTCACAAACAAAATACTCTTGATAGAGTTAAACAAAGTAAAAAAGAAGAAAACATCGTACTTCAAATTCTTTTCTCAATAATTTATGATAGAATTTTTGATTTGTACTTTGAACTCCTTGAGAGAATTGTTGAAAACGTCGCAATAAATCTTGACGATCAGTTGTCTAAATAAAGAGGCAAAATAGAATTTTTTTATCAACAAAAAACAACAAAAAAAAAATTCTACCTGTCTGAGCATAGCCATCATTTTTAATACCAATGAAATTGAACTTGTCTCTGGTGGAGGATGTACAGATCTAAACTCGTCTAAAATTTGTTTTATAGTAAACGAATACGAAAATTTCTCTCATTCACTCACCTCCACAAGTCTTGTATTTTACTAATCAAAATTATTCGTTCATTATTAGTTTCTAACGTGTTTTTACATAATATTTTATGATAACTTTCGCATGCTAATTCATAACAAGTGGATGAACAATACAATTCCTAGAGATAAAATTTGATTATATATGAAAAATATATAATAATAAACAAAAAATAATAGACTATTTTCTTACATTACATTTACCACAACGGACAATGGTTTGTTCAACATTTCTATTTGGATCATTTTCTGGATAAGGAATATTTATCGTTTGATCTTGACATAAACGTCGAACATTATTTTCACATGATTCAAGTGAATGTAAACAATATTCACACGCCTTGAAAAATAAAATAAAATATTTTAAATAAATTATAATATTAAATAAAGACTTACTGAATATTTGTATAATTTATTCCATTCAAATTGTGAGCATACTAAGGGCTTTTCTTGTAATATAATTTCACTGGTCTGATATGTTCGTTTGGAAATAATTTGTCTACCCTAGAAAGAGTTTATAGTGTCACTAAAATTATTAAAAAAAACTTAAAATTTCACATACTTTTTGTTCATCATACGTGACAAAAAAACTGGCATCTTTGTTATCCAAATCCGTCATTAAAACAGAGCTAGTTGTTGCCGTAGCCATCTATTAAGAAGATGAAATAAAAATAAGTTTAGATTGATTTAACATAGATGTAGTTTAAATAGGAAAAAATTTATAATTATTGATTTGATTATTAAAAAAAGACTCTCTAGATATCAGTTTAATGATATGAACTTCACTTCATTTAGTTAAATGTTGTTTAATATTTTTTTAAAAAATTAAATAGGAAATCAAGGCTAGAGAATGAGTGTATATACGTGTACAAATTAGCATGTCCAAATGAGAGATTCTATATTTATTTTTTAGTAAATAGGAGCAAATACCAGTGAAAAATTACTTTGTCACAAATAAAATGATGAGAAGGAACGATGAAAATCATACAAAAAATAGAGGCAAAACATAATAAATAAATGCATAAAAATATATCGTTTCTTGATAATTCATTTTATAACTAACACATAATGGAATGAAATTTTGTTGAAATAAAATTCATACAACAACCCAAACAAATAATGAGATTTAACAAAAAAACCTATCTTGAAAAATATAAATAAAGAAATTGTAGATTTTATTGCACTAAAGAGAAAAAGAATTATTTTTCTAATTTTTTGTTTTTTTTACTGTTTTTTGGTTATAGAATAATAATGAATGACTAGAGTTAAACATTATTTCTTTGAAAATGAAAGAATAATGCTATAATTATTACAAGAATAATGAAATTCAAAAAATATTTTTAACAACAAAGAGCTAAAATATTAAAAAAAAGACATCAGAATATAGATAACTAACGTGTAATACAGAAATACAAATAATATTATTCATTCATAGTTTATATTTTGTTTTCAATTCAACCGCCTTCGCAATAACTGTATGTATGTCAGTATCTTGAGGATAGTTCTAAATGTTCAAATATATTAATTATATGAGATGAAAAACAATTTGTATTTTTAACTATATTATGATTAGACTCGTCTATTTTTCTACATATTGTTTCTTTTACCTGCAACAGTTTGATATTTATCGAGAAATTTCCGTTGAGTAATCGATTTCTTTGTAAACTAGAAAAATCAAAATGATTAGCTCAAAAATCTAATTATCATTGTGTATACATTTACATGATCATTGCACAACAAATATATAATAAAAATTCAAAATTTCGGTCATTATTGGCAAATAAAGAATCCCATAGACGCATTACATCAGGTAAATGAAACTCTTGTGATAAAAGTAACGTAAGCCATCGAAATGCATAAAATTCTGGTTTCAATTTTAATCGTTCAAATAAATTATGAATTACACTATCAGTGAGTTTTAACAATTGTAAAAATCGTTGCATTCGAACAACGATACCATATGCTGTATTATCCAAAACTTTAATAAAATTATCGCGTATATGAACCATTAAATTTGTGAAACAGTAAAAACAATCAGCCTCAGCATGTTCTACGAAGAATTTATAAATAAATAAAATAACTTTCAACAAAGTTAAATGTGAATGCAATACCTCTCCATTCTACATGCGGATCTGTAGCAAATGTATAATAAAGAGGACCAATAATCTCGTTCATTCCCTATAAATAAAAAAATGTAATCAATTTATTCAACTACCAAAGTAGATGCTTGTCACGTACTTGTACGTAACCTTGACCAACATTTAATTTACAATAGACAAACAATATTCTTTCAACAACCTCCCAATGTGATTCATGTCCATCTGGTAATAACTGATATTCACCAAAGTCATCATTGTTATTATTACCATATAATGATTCATTCGATTGTAATTCAACAGTGCCAAGACGTTTTTGTAGTTGAGATTCAACTTTTAATGTTGTCGATACAATACGTTTTCTGATGAAAAAAAAATTCTTTTTATTTGTTATTAATCATATGATATACTTACCGTAAACTTTCGAATCCTGGCTCTTGGGTTAAAATTTCGTTACAGGGATATTCTGTTTCACGTTGGAAAAAACATAAATCAGGACTTAAACGTCTTAAAAAACAATGAAACAATTCTATATATTTTAAAAATTTATATAAACTGTCTACTTTTCTATTACCGAACGTCTCTGTCAATTTGTAATAGTACTTCATTCTCCTTAAAGTAAGCTGCCCATGAACTATTTGATTCAGAATTGAGTGGCTAAATAAAAAATCTATTGTGAAGAGATTACTAACAGGACCGCAAATAAGAGACGAATATTAGAGGAATTGTAGAATTCAATGTCGCGTCGAGGTAGTGAAAAATCTATTGAAACAGCCGTCCAATGTAGTATGAAAGCCGAAAAATATTTTTCGCTCATGATATCATGAAATGTTGAAAACGAGCTCCACAGTACTGATAGTGTAAAGCTAAGCTCATGTGTTCAAATCTTTCTATTCGTACAAAATTGATTTTGTGTTTTTCGATAGTTTTAGTTTAGAATACTATAATGGAATATTTTTCCGCTTGTATTCTGATAGAATAAAGTTTATATCAGCTGATAGTATTTTGCTATGCCCTGTTGCTAGAGGTATTGTGAAAGGGCTGATTTTCTAATCATTCACTACAACAACAAAAAATATTCAATTATTCTGTGGCTGCACATACTCCTACACGCTCCCGGTATTTGCGGCCCTGGTTACTGACGTTCCATATAACGCATGTCTATCAAAACTTACATGATCAACAACTTCTGACGGCGTTGATGAAGTTTGAAGACCAGGTTTTATTATTGTCTCTCTAATATATCCGCGATAAAGTTCTCTACAAATTAGCAAAGAAAATTCACTCATTTTTATATTAGCTAGAGAAGTTTTTTTTAAATACCTTTGTTTACACAAATGTGCGTGCCATTTTGTTCGATCAAGTAGTAAATAATTCAATAAAATTTTCCATGTCTTGGATCGTATCCCCTTTTCTGATGGACAACCTATGAGAAAGAGATAAACATTATAAATCGTTATTATTGTAATACGTGTGTATCTGCAGATTCACCATTGAATGCCAATATCTTCAATCTATTTAAATCGATTATATCGCATTTTAATACTGATTCAAAAGCTTCAATTCTTAAACAATAAAAGTGCACATAAATAGATTTAAAAAGAGAGGTTGACCCATTTTTTTATATACTTTTTCTGATAAGAAGCCATAATGAAAATAGAGAATAAAAATCTAAAACAAAAACTAATACGTTATTGCGAACGTGAACATTTATGTAGCGAGAAGAATACGGCACTGAAGTATTTATCGATATAAAACGTACGATGTATCGATTTAGGAATGTAAAAGTGTTATTGTTGATCCCACTCTCACGGAGAAAAACTATTCTATAGTATAATGAAAGTTTCAATTGAGTAGTATAGCACTCATTGATCACATTTAGAGTGAACTGCGTTCTTCGCTTAAAATGACAGATAAATCTCGAGGAATCATCGTCAATCCTAATCAAAGTTATGCGATATGAAGAATGTGTACTTGAAGATATTATAGTAATTATAACTGATACTATAATATATAATTAGTGAGAGTTTCAGAGACGACAGTAATCAACATGGATTGGAAAAAATTCTTGAGCAATCGAAGTAAATATAGATGTCAGCAGAGACAATCATTATTTTTCAGATAATTAAGCATAGTCAGAATGGCTATGATCTTTGCTCTATTGAATAAAAACTATTATGTCTTCGTATTTTTTATTTCATTTGGCTTTAAACCTGTCCCTAATGAACATAATTGATCCGCTTGGTGAGTACATGGAAAACTTGGCAAGTATTTTCAAGATTAGTCACTTGTCGTATGCTTTTACAAGTACTTCTACAAGATTGCAAGGCGTGGTTTTATTGATACGAAGTACTTTGTTAACGTACCTAACGTGAGATAAGTTCTCCCAAGTATGTACTTTTTAAAAAAGCCAAATGAAGTACTGATCCCAGATATATTCAGTTGAAGGTACGCATATACTTCTTTATGTTATATTGAAAAACATAAAGTAACAAAATTGAGTAAACAAAACACTTTTTGAATTTTCAGATTTATTTATTCTGTTAATAAATTAAACCTGAGAAGGGGTTGCGGGCACCAATACCTATCACCGACAGAGAAATATAGTTTATGCAAAGTCGCAGTCAAGTGCTTTTGCGTATTCAGTACACTCAATAATAGCGAAGATTTTCTATTTTTGGCGAGGATTATTACCAAAAGTTTAAGAAAATTTTTCAAACAAGATGACGAAAAAAAGTTTCCGTAGGAAAATAATATTAGTTTCAAAATTTTTCTTAAACTTTTGGTAATACCTCTCGCCAAGCCAAAAATAGAAAATCTTCGGGATTATCGAGTGTGCTGAATACGAAAAAGCACTTGTTCTTGACTCTGCATGAACTTTATTTTTTCTTCACGTAGATATGCAGCTCCTTCCATCAAATGCCTGTCTCCACTATCAATCCGATGTCACGACGACAATCTGTAGCCAGCTGCGTGATATCATCATTATATTCCCAATAGGCTGCAGAGAGAAGAACTAACAGTTAGGTGGCAGATTCTTCTTTGAAACGATAGTTGTTATCTCCAGTTCGTCTCAACAAACCAAAAGATCGCAATTCAAACATACTAAAACTAGTCAAAAAATTAGTTGAATGAAAAAAGACAATCATTGTGTACAGTTGTGATAATGAAACATACGCTTATGAATATAAAACTGATCGATGGGAGTCCGAGAATCGAGTCTGAAGTTCTATGTGATATATTCACTTCACACTATTTGAAATCAAATATAGATAAGAAGTTGTTAGCTATCGTTCGTTCAAGCTGCTTTACAGTTTAAACTTATCAATTACTTTTTGTCTCATTTTCAGTATTTTCCACAAAGCTTGGGATATAGAGTAATATATATAAGAGAATATTCGTTTCTCCTTCTGTTTTGCTCAAAAAATTATTGTGCAAGTATACTCAAGAGATATGAATACTGAACATTTATTCATAAGATTGACAAAATATTGTTGTTCAATGTCAATCAGGATTTTTACTTAACATGCAAAGTGTATTCTCACATTAATCAACCAGATGTATAGTTTACATACATTTATCTACAAATAAATATACAAAAAAAGTCATAAAAACTATCTACGCATCGAAAGGCCATACAAAACAATCACTGTTATGTATATATACACTTTATTTTTCCATTTTACATGGCATAGCATGAGCTACTTTGGAGTTATTTTGTCTTCCTAAATAATTTGTTATGAAGTATCCTGTTTCAATTAATTTTTCCAGGTCAACGCCTGTCTCATATCCAAGTCCATTCATCAAATAGACAACATCTTCTGTAGCCACATTTCCTGTTGCTCCTTTCGCATATGGACATCCACCAAGGCCACCCACACTTGAATCAACTGATCTTACACCCATTTCAAGTGCTTGAAAAATATTACTAATTGCCAGTCCATATGTATCATGACAGTGAATACCTAATTTTTCGACCGAAATTCCATTTTCTGTTAAATTTAGTAACAGATCTTTGATAGATTTTGGTGTACCAACGCCAGTTGTGTCACCTAATGACACCTCATACTGAAAAAAAATAGATATGAAAGGCCACTATTTTTAAACATATGGAGAAAGCGCGACACTCACACAGCCCATATCGATTAGTTTTTGAACAACAGGCAGTACTTGACTAGGACTAATCTTTCCTTCATACGGACACCCGACTACACATGAGACATATCCGCGGACAGGAATCGAATTTTCTTTGGCTAATTTTACAACATCAACAAAGCGTGCTAGAGACTCATCAATAGAACAGTTAATATTCTTTTTAGAGAATGTTTCGGATGCCGCTCCAAATATGGCTACTTCATCCACAGATGATTTAATGGCACTTTTTATTCCTTGAAGATTTGGTGTCAATGCAGCATAACGAACACCTGTTCGACGTTCAATTTGTGCCAAAACTTCAGTGTGATCAGCCATTTGTGGTACCCATTTTGGTGCTACAAAACTTGTTGCTTCAATATAATTTAAACCTGTTCGACTTAAACGATTAATAAACTCAACTTTGACAGATGTTGGCACGATTTGTTTCTCATTTTGTAAACCATCACGCGGTCCAACCTCGACAATTTTTACCCAATTAGATGATATAGATAATGATCGACTATTTTTCAAACGTTGAATTTGATGTTTAAATAATTGAATTGATTTATCATCCACCATATGTCGAATTGTCTTTTTTAACAACATTTTTCATAGTTTTTTTAATCTAAAAAAATGATAATATCACTTGTACACTAATAAAAGTATATTTTCTGTAACTGAGATATGTACATATATAAGACAAGAATTCAAGAGAAGCGACTCATCTCTAATAAATATCTGAGGGTGTGTGGATAGTTTCATCTTTAATGGACTAATTACTGTTTTTATTGTAAAAAATATTGCACTATAAAAATAATAAAATAAATAGAAGCGAACAGTAAGTCTGAATTCAATTCAGGCTTGTGACGGAATAAGTGATGCCACAAAATTTTCATAAATTAAACGATTTTCATCTGATGGTTCAATAGGACCATTACTAGCAACTGAAACTGTTTTTTCATATATTTCAATACTTTCAACTCTAACAACGGGTTCAACAAATTGCTTAATTCGATTGTTATTTCCTATCAATGTTGATGTCGTTTGGGTAACAGAATTTTGTTGCTGCGGCGACAATTTTGTACGTTCAAGTAATGTTGGAAATATTCTACAAAAAAAAAGAAGAAATGTAAGATTTTGATTAAGAGTTTTTGTTTTATTCAAGCATACATTTCAAAACTTGAACTAGAGGATATTGAATGTGTTGAATAAGCTGATGTTGATCGTTGAATAAATGATGGTGACAAAAGTGTTTCATTAGAACCCATTTTAGAAAATTGTTCATAAATACGTAATGATTCTTGTGATGGTTCATCAATTTGTAACCCGTAGACATCATATGTACTTGGAAAAATATTATTTAATACTTTTTTTATTTGATTATTATTTGTAATATCATCATAAAATTTTGATTTTAATTTTGATTTAACTTTTTTTGTAAGTTGTGATTGAGATGATTGTTGCATTTGTTGTTTTTTTTCATCATCTGTATCAGTATCATCAAATATAGATCCATCTGAACTATAACTGGTGTGTTCACTTGTTTCCTTTTGTTGTTGTTGAGCTTGTGGTGATGTAATAGACGGTGGAGTTTGCTGTTGTTGAAATAAACCACGTTGTTGAATGTCTGATGAAACACTGAAAAATAGGAAATAGAATTAAATTTATGAGTACATTCTAAAAGAGATGGTATTCTACCTTAATCCTGCCACTGTCTTTCGCTGTTTATTTTCTCTCACAGAAAATGGTGTAAATTCACGTGGACCTCGCGGTTGTATACCTAGATTGTAAACATCTCTGAAAAACAAAATGAAAGATATTATATTTGAATGACTTTCTTTAATCTATGTGTGATTTTGTTACTACTAACTTTGTAGTAGAATCCATGTGCCAATCGAATAATTCATCAAATACGGTCATTTCATTTAGTTGATAATGTTGCGTGAAACCGTCAATTAATAAATCATCTTTAGATAATTGCATTATTTCTAAACAATTATTTTTTGATTTTAAAACTAAAATCAAAAAAGTTAATAGTTTTCAGAGGACAAAATTATTCATATCTTTCTTCTACCCTGTTCTGCTGCGTAAGGCAAAGAAAACCATATATCATCACCCAAAATGTTTGTATAGCTGAAAAAACATAAATGTACTAATGAAGAATGAAGTAAATATTAAAAAAATACTATCACTCACTGTGGTGGAATGTAACCGGCAACTAAACGTGGATCATGCAAATGATAGTCGCTTGTTAATTCCCAGAAATGTGTACGCTGTGGTTGATATATACCTAAGAATAAGTTAATGGCATTTTGCTTTTCAGCGTCTAAATAAAAAAAGAAAAATGTTAGACGAACGACACAAATATCATTGAGAATATCAAAATTACCAGAAAAAGCGTTACTGTAATAACGAGATAAAGTTTGTACGATATCTCGTGATTGTGTACTCCATGCTGGTGCAATTTTTTTGTACGAATCGATTCGATGTACCAACTGACTACCACCATATTGTTGAGCCAATAAATCACCCGAATCTTCGTACATTTGTTTTAGCACACTAGAAAAAATAAAATAACTTTTCTGTTCTTATCTTGTTGACATATACATACAGTTCCACAACAGAATTTTCTTGTAAATGTGGCGTTTCGGTAACTCCCAGTGCAAAAAGCTAAACAAATCATCTTGAAGTATAGAACTACAAAAATAGCTCGGTACTTACTTGTTGACCAAGAACATACTTTGCCACTGCAAACATGGCAGTATTTGTACGATCTAAACAATCGACGCAGTTGACACGAACTATTCCAGTCTGTACAAAATATGAACGGAAAGGTTTTAGCTGAATGACGCTATCTCTAATATAAAAAAGACTTGTTTTTTGTCAACAAATTAAATAATAGATCTATTTCAACTTGCTTATCAAAAAAATATTGTTTCTCATTTACAAGTGATGAAAAATTTTGAAAAAATCCTGTCTGTTGAAGACATCGGCGTGCAATTTCATCTAATTTTGGCATAACTCGACGATGTTTACTAAATTAAGAAAGATAATACATAAACATTGGACTTTATGATAGAACTGTACATTACTTGCCTTCTGTTAACACGTGCCATGTCAAATGCTAAATATTGAATACAATTTTCATCAGGTACAAATTGTTTAAGATATTCAATAGCTGATGAATATTCATCGGATAATATTTGTTCTTGTTTTTTTTTCTCACGCTTCTACAAAAATGAAACGACATAAATATACGAGTTTTAATGTATGATTAATCATTTTTACTTTAACAAGATTCAATGCAATTATAGGAGAACCATAACGGTAAAACAATTGACGAAAATGTTGTGCTGCAACAACATACGTTGGATCATTTTGATCAACTAAAATAAGATTTTATCTAAACTTAGTAAAATTAATAAAATAAACTTACTAATAATCGGAGGTTTCGGTACTTGCTTGGGATCTTGAGACCAGAATCCTGGCACAGAACCTCTCAATTGTACATAACTTGTAAAATGACTCTTTTCAAACGATGATACCGATGCATCATGTACAATTTGTTCTGTTTCTACTTCATTTGCTACATAGCCCTAAAACAAAGAAAGTACAGCTTATATCAAACGAATTTTTTTATAGTAAACAATACGTACTTTACAGTTACCACCGCGTTTTAAAAATCGTGTACCAGCATAGCATTTCGATCTTCTACATAATAACGTCAAATAAACCGAACGACAGAAGATATTCAAATATACAATGTTAAAGAATAATCAATTTAGTTTTGAATTTGTATATAGTAGACTTCGAAGAAAAGGATACTATATTGCAAAATACATCCGTGGACCTTAAAGTACATGATTGGACTTAAAATGAATACATGCGTTTTATAAATCAATCTACATACAATGAATAGTAACCATCTTGGATGAATTTGTGATCGAATTGGTTCAAGTAAATATTTATTCCAAACAAATTTCCATGTTGGATTATACCTTGTTCCATAATAAGAATCAACATCAGTAGAACATTGTTCCCCAGTGGAACGATTCCTCGTCCAGTCTTGTTGTATAAGATTATACTGTAATGTATGCGTTAAATCATAAGTATAACTAGAAATACAATAAGAAAATATTAAATTGAAGAGCAAACACAAAGTTTACCTACCTAAAATAAAATCCACTTGTCAAATCAAAATTTTGTAACGAACGCAGATATCTAAGAGTGATAATAAAAAAGAAATTATTAATTCGAATGGATCAGTCATTTGATTCTGCTTGAAGAAAAGTATTTGCATAGCAAACCATTAATAATCATATGAAACAATGTCATACTTGTTTTCATCGGAATTAATTTTACGTATATCTTCATTTGTGATACTAAGCATAACGGTTTCTTCGATTTTATAAATATTATGATATCCAATAGCGGCAACTTGTGTCCTTTTTGTTATCAGTATCATATAATATCCTTCGAGAAATTTGATGAAACCTGAAATATTAAAATAAATCACACCTTTTCACTTCTAAAAATTGTTAATTTATGTTTACCAACTATCCCATATGCATGAATTGTTTTACTAAAAGCTGATCCACCTGTTTTACTACTCGTTTCAATTGTGCCTAATAATTGTCGTAATTCACCATATGAATATTCATGCTAAAAAGGGATACATCAATGGTGAAATTTTTGATACTTGTTATCCTCATGAGAACGAATAGTGAGGAGTTGTGCTTATGACTATTACGTCAATACAAGAGATAAGCGAGTCATCACTTTTTTAACAACAGCTTTCAGCTATGTTCTTTTTAGAATATTCTCAACTTTCTCTTTTCTCGTATATAAGAAATATGACAAACACCTTCATATTAATGCAAAGTTTCACGTGATTTTGGTATCTAGTTTATCAAATCATTTGTCTCGAAGTTCGAGCTCGATTTACAGAAAAATATCGTCTGGCTAATGGTTTAAACTCATTCATTTCTTGTGGGTGCTAGTCGAGCGAGTTTTTCAGTCTCAATTAAACTAGCAACCACGCACTGTTCTATTTGGCAGAACGATGTATAAGCACCAGAAATCTTCTCCACGTTTTCCACATTAAATGTTTCATAGTTCTCATAACATAGACTTATTTTTGCTACAATAATCTTAAGTATCGAATATAGAACGTGATATGGTACGTACTTGATCTTCGCTGACGCTAAGCTCTTTTTGGTCCATACGATCTACTTTTAATATACGACACTTTGATTTACTTCGATCCATAGCCACAACGAAGTATCGCTTAACAGAAGAAAAACAAACAGCAATTTAAACAGCAGCGATATCCACTCATTTTGTTTACGTTGTGCGTGGCATAGATGGTAAATCGTTCGAAAGGATTCAAAATAGGATATTCATATACAGTTGGCATTTATTTTAAAACTATTTAGAGTAGAAACATCTAAACTACCCTAAGCACGGTAAAAGAAACCATCTACAAGTAGAAACAAATATCTTATTTGAAAAAAATTAGTGAAAAAAACTCGAAGCACTCTTCACACTGAGCTATCAGACCACTAATTGTGGGATCTCTGCCTCGCACGTTATGTGGTAGAGAGATTCCAGTTTCATCGTTACACGCACTTTTTTATATAAAGCGGAATGAGTAAAACGAAAGAAGACTTATTGTTTTTCATTAAGATAAATTGCTTTTTTTCTAGGGAGAGCTTCTTTTCAGAGTCAGCCACTCGTTCTCTAGTATCCCTGAATCTATATATTTGGAAAAGGATACGCCGAATGTCCCAGAATAGTATATTAAAGATATAAAATTAGATATGAATTTTGATACATTCTTTTATAATTCCGCAACAAACTACAAGATATGAGCATACTTCAGAAACACTGCCGTTTTTGGTGTAAAATCGTTAATCATAATGTGGTACTGTGCAATGCGTACAAACTATATACTAATTTGTTTGACGCAGTTGTGTACATTACAGTGAATACTACTATAATTAATCTGCTGATTTACACAACGGACCATTAATGTGCTATATAAAAAGGTTCAATCATCCAGAGAGAGAAATGCGATCCTTTCTCTGAATCCACCGATAAGAGTCTACTATTCACTGATGTCTATCTCTCATTATATCAGTTGTATCTTATGCGCTGCATAAACTGCAACTATTGCCCTATTCCTGCTCAAAATTTTGTATGTATTCTAATGTTTTTCAATTACGCTTTCACTCAGCGGACTTCTTAGTTTTTTCCGGAACAGTTGTTAGTCTCTAGTATTTTTTATATTATATTATATGCTATACTATACATAATATTGTTATGATAGAACCTACATATTTAAGTTGTCGAAGGACATAACTTATTGCTTTTCACTATCGTCGTTGCCTAGCAATATTCTTCATCCTTCTTTCTTTCTGATACCTTTTCGACATACTTTTGTGCCGATTTTTCTCAGTTATTATGCATTGAGAGATTCGGAACAAAAACCAATCGAACTACGAAGTAGTTCTGATAAACCTTTTAAAATAATTTTTTCAACTTCTCATTTAATTATTGCACAAACAGTGTACGAAAATGATAAATTTTTTGAAAAATATTGAATATATGCTGTATGATTTAATTGACAGCTGATCACAAATATACAGTATGTGATGTATCTGTATATTGGATCATACAGGGAATCGATTATAATCACATCTATTGTCCTACAACGAACAGCATTGTAACTGTACCGTGAAGATACTTAATTAAAAGACATCTCTTATGTTCATGATGAACCCACAGCTACTTTTATTATATTAAACCCTTTTAGCAACAATCAGTAAAAAATTCGCCAACTTTCCACCCTTTTTTTCTAGTAGTTAACAATCCTTCTATAAAGTTATTTATGCTATACTATTAATTTTCTCAGAATTGTTAAAGACTACCAGGAATGGATGAATGCGCTAGCCAATAGTAAGACAACTTTAGAGATCGCGTATAGTACACTAACTAACCTCAAACTGGAGACCGTACGTTTTTCAGTACCGACTGTTACGCAACTTCTTACTACATACAAAAAAAAGTACGCGCATAGCTCGAAAACTGCAATTTTATGTTAAAATCAAACATCTCTTAATTAGTTTAGCAGGACATTAAAAACAGACAACGACCATTCACCATACAGAAAAT